GGGGGGTGTTCAGCATGAGAGAAGAGGCGCCTTTAGCTTTTTAGCTAGACTGTCTGTAACGCTGATAGCTTAGCACGACATGTTTGAGTTGTGCGCTGTTTATACACAGTTTTTGAGCACGTGTGTGTGTGTGTTCAGCTTGAGAGAAGAGGCAACGTGGGCACTGCTTTTAGCTTTTTAGCTATATAGCCTATATTTCGCGCTACTAGCTTAGTGTTATGTCAGTGCCGGGGTGGGGGCCAGTTAGGTTTGGAAGGCAGGGTGCTCAGTTCTGTTGACGGGGTGGGGCACCCCGCTTGTATAATGGTAGGGGAAACACTGAACTTAGCAGTTGTTTAAAATCCCTTAAAGTGGTCAAAGTCGACAACTTCAGATATTTTTGCAAGGTGTTCCAGGAAACAGGAGCAAAGTAGGAGAAGGCACTTTTGCCTAGTTCGGTCCGCACTGAGGGTACATTGCAGGTAATTATGTCGTGACTCGCGAGAGCGCATGCTGTAGCTGCACTCATCGATTGACATATAGGAGATCTATGAAGGCAACAGACCAAGAAGTGATTTAAAGATGAAAATGTACCAGTGAGTCTGCATGAATTTACTGATGACCAATTGACCAGTGCAGTGACGGGTATGGTAGTTACAGCCAGCTATGTATCTTAGTGCACCATGATAGACCGCATCCAACTCCTGGAGGGTGCTTGCAGAAGCATTCATGTAAATAATGTCACCGTAGTCAATGGAGGGGAGGAAAGTAGAAGTTACAAGGCGTTTCCAAGCATTCAGAGTTAGACATGATCTATTTTTAAAAGAGAAACATAGTTTTACTTTCAGTTTCTTTACAAAGTTTTTGACATGAGGCTTGAAAGAGAGATGTGAATTAACCAAAATGCTCAAGTATTTATAAGAATTGATAAACTCAATAGGAACATCATTTGTAGATAAGATAGAAGAAGGACTGCTGGTACAGACTTCCTGATTGAAAACAACATCCTTTGTTTTTGTCAGCATTTAGCACAAGTCTGAGACAGAACAAATCTGACTGGACGATGTCAAATGCAATGCAGACTGTAAAAGCTGGAAAACCTTAGCAACTGTTCTAGCTCGACAATAAACAACTGTGTCATCAGCAAAGAAATGTAAGGATTGTCAGGAATGATCTGACCTACATTACTTATGTAGATTGTGAAGAGGGTGGGTCCCAAGGATGAACCTTGGGGTACACCATTAACAGATAGCTGGAAGAAGAACCATTATGTTGAACACATTGCCTCAGATCTAAGAGATAATTAGAGAACCAGCCAATATTGTGATCAGAGAAACCAATTTCTTAAAAACCATGGGTCAACCTTTTATTTGTCGTGAAATTGGTACTCAAAAATAGCATCACGTTCACACACACACACACACAAAAGCTAATTAATGTACATTAGTCAGCCTACTGAAAAATGATGGCGGCCAAGTTCTTCAACAATGAAGATAACAAATGTCATTTCAAATGTTACAATGAAATACATCCAACTACTTAACTTTCAAAAAGTGTTTGAATAAATAAATAGACACTAGGTTGAACTTTTGACCTTTTTATGTTGGAACCCATTTTTTTTGGCTTAAAAAGGCATTTTTCAGTTAAACAGTTAGAGTAAATAGAAACAACTTGCGCATAAAACCATGATGTAAAACATAAATCCACATCCAAAAAAGTTCAATCTGGTCCTCTGGACATTCAAAAAAACAAAA